GGAATCGGAACTGAAAAGGATGAAGATAAAGCATTTACTTATTTTCAAAAATCTTCTGAGATGAAGAATGCAAATGGAAAGGTTTAAGTCAATGTTTGCTATTATAATAGCATTGGAGTTGAAAAGGACGAACATAAAGCATTTATTTATTTATTATCTAAAATCTGACGAGACCAGAAATACCGAAGGAACTTTTCAAGTGGTAATTGTTATAAATATTGGATTGGACTGAAAAGGAAGAACGTAAAGCATCTATTTATTTTCAAAAATTTCCAAAATATATAGTAATTGACTATCTAGTCTTTAATATAAGAAATATAATCATTGTAAATTTCCACTTGCCACTGTATTGGATTTATTACGTATATTATTATAGAGTTGTTTATCTTTAAAAATTTCAAAGAATATTAAAGATTTTAGTTAAAAAAAATTAGAATCTAAATTAATTATTCTTTTCATCTCGAAATTTGGAGGGTTATTATTGGACAATTAAAATCCAATAGATTTAAACGATTCTGATCACCTATAACGAATTATTGGAAAACGAGTATTTCCGGAAAATATTACGGATAAAGATTGAGGTGGTTAAGGTTTAGAATAGTAAAATATTTCTTTTATTAGTGTCCAGAATGAATTTTGGTTTTGAATTTTAGCTTGTAATATTAGATCTTATTTAATAAACTATAGGAAAAATTTAAGGGATTTACTATACAGTATAAAAACGACAATACATTAAAAATAGCACTTTGTATACATACGCATGTGCTTATGTACGTGCGTACATGCGTGCCAATAATAGAACGCATTGATTATATCATTGCATCACAAGATTTATGGAACCAAATTAATAATCTAATGGCGTGGCTAAATACATATGCAATACGTAATCAACATAGATTGCATTAATTACGCATTAATTACTAGAATTCAATGACTATAACGTCTCTTAAAACCAAGATATAGAGGAAGGTGAATTTTAATAGACAAAAAGTAAACACTATTATTGTCATACGTCATACAATTAAAATTATCATGAAAATAATTAGTGCCAAAAGAATTGCAATTAAATTCAGTTTACTGTGTAGAACGCTGCTTGGTTTTTGTTAAACATAGAGATGGCAAATATTGTAAAATGTAATGATTTAAACCAGTTTTATATTGTTCTAAAACAAATATCAAGTGATTTAATTATCATATTTTACGTTAATTACAAAACAATTGCGTAGTATCTAAGAAATAAATATCATTGATGAAGTTAAATTTATCCAATTAAATATAGTATGTTTAGCTTCAGTTATCAGTCCAACATTCACTAATGGCTTAAAACATGATTTAAAACGATTTTAAAAAAAATGTTAGAAACATTAAAAAAAACTTAAAAAAATGTTAGAAACATTAAAAAAAACTTTTTTTTACCATTCCTAGTTAAACAGCTAAAGATCCAAAATCACGTGTATTTATTGTAACCCAATAATTTTAGCGACGAATATGATATGTAATCTATTATGTAAAATTGCAATTAATTGACTAATTGAGTTCGAAAATTTGCAATTATTAACAATTGCCCTACAATCAATTATTCGGTAGTTCTATAGCTCAGATAGCTAGTATCCTATTCCTATTCCTATTCCTATCTATATATATATATATTTATATAATAAATAAAATTACCAACAAACAAAGTATTCTCGAATTATGGTTACTTGATTTCTTGATTTCTTAAATATGGATGAATTTATTGTAACATCCGGTATCTACATTATCCCACTGTCACGAGTGTCCTGTCCGTTTTACCTAATTAATCCGGATCTTTTGGCCTTTTCATATGAATGTCTATCATTTTCATAAGCTTAAATAATTGAAGTATATCAATATCAATGATAAAAAATTGATTTGATAATTACTGTGAAACCTCCATAAACTTTACCAATGAGCACTTAAGAAAAAGTGCATTTATGGAAGTCATGTATATATTTAAGCTGAAATTTAAGTGTGTATTTAGAGAGGGTATGCGCTTATAGAGAATGCATTTATGAAGGTTTCACTGTATACATACAAAAAATATATTTAGGTGCGCCCATTTACTCCTGTATTATATAAAATTATTAGATGACTTTTTAAACAAAAATAGGCAACATGGCTACTTACAAGTTGCATTTTTGATAGGATCCCAAAAAAACATACCCAATTAAAGTAATAATCAGTTAATCATTTTTATAAGGAGGTTACGTATCAAACAAATCAAGTCTTGATATGGGAATGCACAATTTATAAAATAAGTAGGACTTTCAAATTATGTCTACGTTTTTAAAAATCTTATAACTATGTCATTTAAAACGTTATTAAAAATAACCGAGGACTATTATATTTGTCGGTTAAATTTTTGTAAAATGCCTAAATATCAAATTATAAGTGATTAAAGTTTAGAAAATTCGTACGTACAATTTATTATAAAATTGACGCCATATTGCTATGTATAATTTGTACAAAAATTGGCGTCATATGAAACCACCTGTAGCAAAAATGAGGCAGTGGGACAATCATGTGATTTTGAGAAAATTATGATTTAAATTCATTACATGATTAATTTTAATATAGTAATAATAAAGAAAAATTTTAAATTGATAAAACTTATAATCAAATTATTATAAATCTTCAAATCTGATTAGTTGGCCCACTGCCTCCTGCTGTGGTGGGCCATATATCGATCTACATAAAATTGTTCCAACTTTCCGTTTCTTTCCGAGGAACACGCTCGTCTTTTAGTTTAATATATATCGGAGCTTCTCGGGTCTTTATTAAAAAATTTGCACACTTGAATGTAACTAGCCAAATTTGGCGCATTTGAAGAGAAGTGACTTGGTGCACCATAGCATTTTTGCGCAGATTATGCCAATTTTCCAAAATCTATCAGAGGGTGCTATTTTATATTACTATACTCCATACCGATCACTCGTACCATGATAATCTTCATAATTCTGGTACTATATACCGATTTGTTGTAATTTCAATAAATCTCATTAATAAAAATCCAAAGTTTCATTTAAACACACATCGATTCTATCAAATTTTGTAATGAAGTTTATGCTAATCCTAATAAACAAAACATAACTTAGAGTCAATCAAATCTCTAAAAAAAATGGACATACGTTAAGTCATATATAATTCCGATAGTATATCAGATCGCCTTTAATGTAAGCAGCTTTAATAGAATAGATGTCTAAAATATAATCTAAATCTTTCATTACACCTTCTCAATCTATCAGTTCAAGACTCTTAATCTTTCATTATACTTACAAAACTTCGCTACACTCTTTTCCAATCTTTCATAGCGGTATTTTAAAAATATATTATCGAATCGCATTACGGCAATTTAAGACCCCTTCGGAGAAATAATTCATATTGTCGTGTTAATCTTGTAGATAAATTCAAAGATTAGCTAAACATTATGAAATATGATACATACCATTCACATTTTACAAAAATAACACCAATCCTGTAATAGAAAAGGAGGATCTACAATTCATATGCATGAAATCACGGACACCTTTCGTTTTATTTCCAAATAATTCCATTTATTATTAGAAAACTAATGGCTATTAATGCAAACTTTTGAAATAAGAAGTCTAAATTTAATTGTTTAAAAAAAAAAAGAACCGTGCGGCTATATTATTAAACATCGGTCCATGATATAAAAACCAATTATATACAGGTATAAGCTTATGTAGCTTAATCACCAATAGTTTAAATTAGTTCATATCGATGTGCAAAATTCGATGATAATCATTATGGTTCGAAACTCTAATTTTGTAGATCACGCATATAGTAACAAATAACAATATAGAACCATAAGTTGCATTATTAACAACCTATCAAAATTTGTAATTTGCCGGAAGTCTTTCGGGCATTTTTATTGTAATTATTCAAATTTGAATGGGATCGACTGGATTGCATCTTTTCAATTATTCAATTCCTATCTATACATTAAAATTATATCATCATTACCATAAAATACCTAGGAATGGTAAACACCTAAATTTAAGAGTTGGCTACTGAAAGCGTCAATTTAATTGACTAATATATATATATATTGTTACTTATATTGTTTATTGTTAAATATAACAAGCTAATATTAATTATTTAGATTTTAACGTATCGACATTAATTCTATGTTTAATAAGTTGCTCACTATGTGCATATGGGTTCCAACTTGACATATCGATATAAACAATTTTGAGTAAATCGAATTTAAATGATCGTCAAATAAAAAACATGTATAAAATTTTTTGCCTTTCATTTTTGTGGATCTTTTTATTATTTTATCACTCATATATGATATGAAAAAAAAGGATCATGATAATACGTACGTATACACAATTAGGCAATTCTAATTTGTTAAAACAGGGTCCAACCAATCAGACTTGCAAATTCTCATATTAAACCTAATATAATCTCTTTATATAGTATTCTACATATTATTCCGGATTTATTTGGTAATTATGTACGTACTCGAATTTGGTGTCCAGATATCAATATAATTACACAAATGTGCCGTAAATGCATTAACCGTTTTTAATAACGAGCCGAGACTAGTAGGAACTAAGTGTAGTGATAGGCCAAATATTACTAATTAACGTTATTTTATATTTTTTTGTAGTTTGTTTTATGAATAAATAATAAAAACTTAAAATTTAGGACTCATTATGCATAATAAAATTTATGTAATCCTAATCTAATTACATAATTAATAAGTAGCCATACTTATGTAAAATTAAAATAATCGTTTCAAAAATACGATTGATTAATGCACTTAATGAAACTAAAGTCTCTTCAGTAGGCAATACACCCATTACCACTAAATTCCTGAAATTCTAACCTTGAAGTTTCCCGAATAAAGTATAAATTCAATATTTATGCAGCTTAGTTTTTCTTTTTTTTAGTTTTTACAGACCATTTCTTGTATCCCTCCACACCTTTCTTTAATTATCTTTAGTTTAGCCATGAGTTCTGAATCAAATATTACCGACTTCAGAGTACAACCTGACTTTGTTATTATTTCAACGTCTGGTTTAAGCTCCGGTTTTGTGAATTTCGCTTGCTTGATTTACCTTCTTGTCAGGATACTGACTCGATGGTGGGTAACTGAAAAATCCTTACCGATGGTTCACAGGGTGCCACTTTATTTAACAATTAGTGGTATGTCAATACATAATTCTCTACATTTTAAATATGCTAAATATACTTGTATAATTTTAAACAATATAAATTTTTTTTTTTAATTACCAAAAATAAATTAGAACTTATGTTGTTTGTCATCAATCTAGTGAATATGGTAAGTATTTATTTCAATTAACCATAATAATCTTATACGTCGTTTAATCTAGTATTAAACTTCTTTTTGGTAACTTCTCAAGGGATACACCACTATTCATGGTCATACAATTGAAGGAGTAGCATGTAAAGTAGTTGGTGGATTATCATTTTTCACCGTTTCTTCTAATGTGACTTTAGTTGGGTTATTGTCTTTGATGACTTACCTCCGAGTACGTAGAAAATATATTATTGATATGGGAATATATGATTATAAATTATTTTTGATTCTTTTTACAATATCTTTAACGTTAACCTTAATTGGAGTTCAAGATTACGGTCCAAGTAAATTTTGGTATGTCTTTATATATTTAATTGTAATTTTTTTTTAACATTCTAAAAATATCAATACTTATACATTACTTATTAGGTGTTATAACTCTCCAACTGATCCAATAAGACCATTAATAACTATTGGATTGATTTTTTTAATATTATTCATTACATTATTTTGTTATGTTATGACCTTAATGGAAATAAATATTCAACAAAATATGATTCGAAATTTTGGTTCCGATAATGTTACATTTAGTCGAGTTGACATTATTGTTGTGAGGAAAATTATTGCTTATATTCTAATATTCCTTTTAGAATGGGCTCCTACCGTCATTTATTTCATTACTCAAATGTTTCAAGTAAGTATAAACTTATTATTTCCTAGGTTATCCTCTAAAGTTATATAAAATTTGAGTAATTGCTCTGATTAATGTTCTGTATCATTATTTTTAATATTCGATTTCCTGTTTTTTTTTTTTTTTAGTATGAAAATGTATGGATTTACACTGTATCGGTAGTTTTTATAAATTTGGGTGGAATAGGAAATGCAATTTTATACATTTCATATGAAAGTTGGAAAAATAATTATGATAATGGAACTACTTTCGTTGCTAGTAACTCTAGTAACTCGGGTGGAATTAGTAAAAATAATCAAGAATCACATCATCAAATAACAGTTCATAATGTTAGTACGATTGAAAAAGGATTTCGTAATTCCAGTTCATCAGATCAAGAATTATAAATCTTTATTTGAAACCCCTATTATTAATTTATTCATTTAAAAAAAAAACCAATTAGAATTGTTTTGTATGATTTTTGTTGTAAAATTTATGCTTCATCAAATCTCATATAGGTCTAGTTACAAACATAGTGCAGCTAATCGCTAATTAAGATTTTTTCTAATAAAATTATGTATTAACGCTAGTCGTTAAAGTAATGCACTATATGGCAAGGAATAACCATTGTATACAAATATTTTACGCGAATATTGTAAGTCTTCGCAGTAGAAAGCAAGAATGATAAAAATGACTTGGTCATTTGATCAAATACAAACTATCCCAATTTATCAAATAATGACCAGTCATTAAAGTCATCATTTACGCATAAAATAATTTTATTGGTAGCTAATATTGTATAAAAAGTTATTCATTTTTTAATTAATGGTCGTAGCTATATATAAGAGTCAAAATCTTGCTAATAAGTAATGCTGATCGGGTTAAAAAATTTCACGTACTCTGAAAGTTTCATATAATTTTAATAGCTTTTTATTAATTCGCATTTGTTTTACTATAACAGTAAAACAAAAAAATTATATAACTCATCTCTTTAGACATGGAAATTTATACATCATGATACACCCTGACCTAAATGCATTTATTAGCACAAGTCAAAAATTAGTATTACATGTATAAGTAATCACATATTTGAATGGTCTGAACATTTTTTAAACAAATAATAGCAATAGAGAATAATGATAACAAAAAGTGCTCGTGGGCATCCGTTTGTGGAAAATAATAATAATAATAATAACGACAAGAAATTTGCACACAGATCGATATTGTGAGGGGCGGATTTGGAGCTACCGGGTCCTTCATGGTTAAAACATAGCAAATGTAACGCAAAGACACAAGGCAACTCAAAAGAAAGGCGTGGAAAATTTGGTCTGAGAACCAAGGATCCTACTGCCACTAAGATCCTGGTTTTAAGGTGTGTCTTTATTAATATTTCATCTCTACTTAATTGTCTTTTTATCAACAGAAATTACAGGACATTTAACAAGAAAAATACAGCAGAGGCTTCACCTTAAAATCCGGACCCAATATAGCCCAGGTAACCAGTATTCTAGCATCCAAAAGGTTTTATTATACCAAAAATTACATTAAATTTAAATAATTTTTTTTTTCTTCTCATATTTTTTTTTGAACCAATCAAACACAAAATAATAATAATAGTAAAAATAATCACCAAAAAAAAAATGAATCCAACTCACTATCATCAACTAAGATAATACTTACTAAAACACTAGCTACCATCTGGATTAAGCAAACAAGAACAATTAAGGATAGTGTCAAAGTCTAAGTTCTTTAAAGTAAAAGGAAATATGTTGTACAAAAAAGATAGACAGAAAAAAGGCAATTGGTTAAAAGTTATACAAACTTTTGAAATCAAGTTTATATTACTCCTTGCACATAATCATCTATTGGAAGTCACATGGATTAGGTCATGATGTTCAAAGAAACAAGAAGGTATTACTTTTGACATCAAATGTTTGAAAGTATTAGAGAGTATGTACAAACATGCAATGCATGCCTATAGCATAGGAAGAACAAACTTCAAGAACCTCTGCATTCAATTCAAATAGACTTACCAGTCTATCATATTGAAATCGATATTGTAAGGTTCCTGCTTATAACCCTCTACAAGAAGAGATATATAGTTATAGTCATTTATTATATATTGAAGTGGCCCAAAGCAAGAGCACTCAAAAAAAACAATGTTGCTAAAGTTACTGAATTTATATATATAGAGCTTATATGTAGACATAATTGTCTCAATTCATAGTATCAGATTGTGATACACATTTTAAGAATGAATTGATTATTGCATTACTAAAAATTTTAAATAAAACACAAACTGTCAACTTTATACTATTCACAAAATAACAGTCTTGTCAGATGATACAATAAAACACTCTGTAAATTGTTAGCAAAAACAGTATACAACATAACTGACTGGAATTAATTTATTCAACTAATATTATTTTTATATTATATAACAAAACAGAATTCAACAAAAATAATACAATTTTATTAATATATGACAAAGAGGCATGTCTGCTCTTGCATCTCAGTAATATTCCTGATATTTTAAATTGTACTATTATTCAAAAAACATTTAATTTATTAAACACAGTTCCAGAACAATGAAATAAGGCAGTGTAACAAACAAGATTAACACAAACATAACAAAAGAACAATATAATCAGCATATAAAGGTTACATCAGACTTTCAAATAAGTGATAAGATTTTATTATTCAATACAGCACATCAAATATATCAAAGTCACAAACTAAACCAAAAATGAAAAGATTTATTGTTTGTACATAATATTTTGGCAAACAGATCCTATAAATTAAGAACATTAGAGGGTCAAGTCCTAAAGCCTTTTATTAACAAAGCACAACTAAAAAGGTATATAGAAGCCTAATAAAAGTAATTATTCAAGAAGACTAAGAAATAAGTGAAGGAGTTTGAAAGTAAAGGAAAAGGTATTGAATAAAAAAAGGTGAAAATAAAGAAAACAAAAAAAATAGCAAAAAAAAATTCTCTTAACAACAAAGAAAGAAAGAAGATGATTAAAAGTAAAAAGTAAGAAAATAAGAAAGCAATTAAAAAAAAATAAAAATAATGCATATAATAGAAGAAATTATTAATAATCTACTAGAAATAAATTTATAAGAGGTTCTGATGACACCTCTGTTCTATAATAAAAATTAAACCTTAAATAAAAAGATTAAAATAATCTACAGATATATGCTATAAAATCAAAAGTTCAAGAATGAATAGGAAGCCTAGTTTATAGTTTCTATTTGAAAAAACTATTAGATAAAGCAAGTCTGAAACAACAAGCTGAATGTTGAAAAAAGTCACAAAGCATTACTATTAGGATTGGAACATGGAAAATTTTGGAGCATGCCTGAGGGGGCATGCCTTCCTGTGCTCCAGGCATGCCCTCTCATAAGTATATCATACACTATTGAAATATTTTACAAGTTATCGAAATTTCTTGATAATCATGCTTGTAATTTGTGTTTGTTGACTCTCTAATACTCTGAAATGTTCTAGCACTCATATTTACTCTAGTTAGACCATACTGATCTTATGAAAAATCAGGTCAACTTAAAGCCAATGTACAAAAGATTACAAGATATTTATTTATTTTTTTTACTCTAGTTATACTAACTTATGAAGATCATAAATACTAATTTATAAAGATTGCAGCTATTTATTACAAAAATTATACTAATTTATAAAGATCATGGCAATTACAAAGACTATTTCAAAAAAAACTCTTTCTGCAAATCCATTGTACAAAAATTATCTAAAAAATTTATTCATCAAAAACACTTATAAATTTTTATTTTACTAAGACAATCTGTCTTGGGCTTCTAAGTAAACTTGTTCAGCTCACAATTTTACGTCTAGTTTGCAAATATTAAGCTTCTATACTTCAAACTCATAAAGAAACCTGTATTGACAGCCTTTGGCCTCCAGTTAATAACTTTTAACTATCTTGCAGTTTTTACTGTTTTAATCTGTTTTATACTCTTAAGTAAAGTTGTAGTATATATTTACCTGGTCAAAACAAGCTCTAAACAAAGATTTTTGACCCAATATTAACCAAATTACAACTAAATTCAACATTTACTCTTTTGCAAAACTTCTTTTTTATCTTTTGTCCTCATCCTGTTCTCTTTTCCATTTACACAATTTTTGTATAATCATACTATCACTTCCTAATCCATATCTTATTAATTTATACCAATATTTTGTAACCAACCTATTAATAAAAACCCATTTATACAATCAATATTTCTATATTTAGTTCTTATTAATATTATACAGTAATTTGTACTGCAAATCGCACTTGTATTCAGTACCTGAATTACATTAGTGACCCTATCCATCTCTGTTACACTTTTGTGTTATTCCAGTAACACTCTTAAACTACAACCTTCATATTTAGTTACAACCCTTGTAAAATTAATTTTTACAACTATATTTTCTATTTAGAAAATATATCCAAATCTAAAAAATCTTTATCTACCTTATTACTATTTAACAATGTCTACCTTAAGTCAACAAAAGTCCAACACAGCAGACCTTGATTACTTCTACTAAAACTTTTCCAACAATTTTGAAATTGTTCTCTATGAAGAAGATAATAATAACAAGACCCACCTAATCTCTTCCAAAATCCAACCCATTTCTTGCTTAACAAAAAATCTTAGATTCAACAAGATTATATATTTTTTTAAAACTTCTACCTCTATTTCTGTAATTACTTGTTTTTGTGACAAATATCATACCAAATTCATTTCAACCTCAAATACCAATTATATCCAAGGTACTGAACTTACAACTGCTCATATCAACAGAAACTCTTAAAAAATTAACAAAACAATTCAAGAACTTATGACTAACCTCTCTTCTTCTATTGACAGTGTCCCTCTATCTTCTACACCTGATGTACATTACCATACTTGGCCTAAATGCTCTCTTCCAATTAGTTGTATAAAAAGAAATGAGTGCTACTATCCTACTAAAAAATACATTTTCAAAAATAATGAAATCTATCATCTTAATTGTATAACTGACTTATCTCAACATAAAGCTAGTTCATGCAAAACCAAGAAAAATCTTACTCAAACCTTTCAAAACATCTTACATAAATCCTCTCAAATTACCAATTCTCTTACAACATCTTCTTACTAGACCTCAACTTCTTCTGATCTTATTGATTCTTTTTTTTCTACAACTACTAATACTAATCTTACTACTAACCAACCTCTTGCTACTAATACTCTTGATAGTTCTAATCTTAATTTCAACAAGATCAATAATATTAACCAATTTTAAAATACTGTTAACAAATCTTCTTTTCAATTATACTCTAGTGTTCTCAAACCAAAATCTAATCCTACATATGACTGGATTGAAAATTTTACAATTATTGAAGAA